ATGTTTTTAGACCAAATCCGGACATCAGTTCCGTTTCCGGGGGAGGGGGGGTAAAATTAAAGTTAAACAGTATTGTTCTTTCATTAATACAATTTTATTTAAATCTATAAATAAAACGTCTACATAAGAGTTATTAGGTTAAACATGTTATAATAATTAATTAACATATACTAATAAATATAAATTAGGTATTATTAATTTATACAGAGTGAACCCGGAAATCTGTCACCAAACATAACTTTTTGTATCAATATAACCACGTTTATTGGTTACCTTTATAAAATCCGGACATTTTTCAAATCCGGACGCCAATCCGGACAGGTGTTTGAAATCCGGACTGTCCGGACGAAATCCGGACGTATGGTAACCTTTACGGCTATAGTCAACTATAAGGGCACTAGGATTACTCAGGGCATTTCCAGTAATAAAAATGCATCTTACTCTATATTATTATACTAAGCTTTATTGTATTTATGTTTCGTATTTTTTTTATAATAAATAATACCAAAAATATAGCATAAGTGTCTATGCATTATATTAAAATTTTTTTTTAAAAAAATATTTATTAGTGGGACACTGTTTAAAATTTCTAAAAATTGTTCTTTTTTTCCTTTGTTCTTTTTTTCCGTGTTCTTTTTTACTTGTTCGTAAAAAAAGATGAATCCACCTCTGGCTGCAGTGCTGTCTGTTTCAGTATAAAAAATCACAAATATAATAATAATACTATGCAGAAAAAAAATTTAATTTAATTTACCTATTTTGTAGAAATGCGAATTAGGAATACTACTGCTGTAGCGAGTGGCGACAATGAACCGAAATACGAGTTGAGCGAAATATTGATAACAGTAATGATTTTCGTTTTTCTCCTACACTATCACACATTTGCATTTCACACATGACGTTTATTTCGGTGTCCGTAGTTCGTATGAACTACGAAGGATTATCATTATTCGAAAATGTCTAAATTCTGGAGAGCGTTAATATGATGCGCGGACTGCGCCCTAATTTATAACTCCTCGACTTGGCTCAAAACTGTCCGACGTACATCGCGTCTCGTCGATACGTTGGTCTGGATATACGGACATGTGTCTGTCGATTGTCGACGTATCGTGTACCGTAGAATTTCAGTAGTCGCGTTTGTCCGCCTTCGTAACGATCGGTATAATACGACAGCGGTATTGGAGTGATAGTGCGTGTGCTCCGTCAGTGTTGGTACACTAATTCGACCTAAAAATGGCATTAAATCCAACGTCTGCCAATGATCACACGGTCAACAAAGTAGCTGTGTGTTCGGCGATTTTTGCTGGTTTTGCGTATGTCGGATACTCGGTTGCCAAGAACGCGTTTGGACGACGTCTGGGCCGGAAGAGTGACGATGGTAAGTTGATGCCCGATCACGTAAGCCTGGACTAATCTGTGAACAGTGGAGACTGTCTTCCCACTTACTGGCCAATTTCTATTTAATAAGCAACTAATGTTTCCCATATAGGTTGCCACCATGAGGATCAACGCCTGTATTTTCGCCGTCTGTCCCAGACAACACAGACCGATGTCTTACTTGGAAACTTGGACACTTCGGAAACCACTCGTGTGTTTCTACGGCCCATGACCGTACAGCAAAGAATTAAAGAGCTTAATTTGCGGGCAAGAATGTTTGCTGACACAATGATGGCTATACAGACACCTTCAAACAAACATTCCTTGCATGGACCTAGAAGCTTACAGGTTTGTATTTACATAAGGTCATTGTTTACATTCCATGACCAATACAAATATTAAATAATGTAAGAGTATAGTTAAGTGGTTCTCAAACTGTTTTTGTTCATGGTCCCCTTGGATGTTTTATACAAATATTCTGACAACCTACACACTAATCATATGAATGAATGATTTACATTTTCAATAATTTTGAGTCATATCTAATAATGCCACTTCATTAATTAGAAAAGTGTTGTACCTTGTCACCTTGATCCAATGTTTATTTCTTCTTTAATAATTGGTAAAAAATTAATTTGTGGAAGAAATTATAGTCACTAGTTTCATAACATTGAAATATATTGACAGTTAAAACAATAAAATCACACATTAATTAATAATAAATAAAATTTAATTTCGCCTATCAAATCAATTATATATTTTTAATCTTTTGTTCGACATTAAAAAAGGTCATTTTACATTACATATTGTTTAAAATTGAATGGTGTAGTCCATTCTTACAACAATTTAGTATTGAGGTCGAAGACAATTCATTCTTCCCAAATTGGTATGCATGTACTGCATGCATCGCGGACCAAATCATTAATTAATAAGTTTTAAAGAATTGAAATAAGTTTTTTATCATTTATCCAAGATTAAGTAATTATATACATTATTATCTATATTATACTAAATTGCGTAGATATGGGTATGGATATGGATTTTATCATTTTTTGGTTATAAAAAAAAATTGATCTTAGAAGAAGAAGTTGATTTAGGGTTGAGAAAAGAACCCATTTATAACTTTATTATACCTACAATATGATTAATATACATTAACTTGAAATATTAACAATTAGAGCAGTTAGGGGACGTTTAATAAAAAAATTATCTTGAGGTACCACACTCCTGTATGTGGACGTAAGTAAAATTGTTTATAATGTACTTGAAATAAATACTCTCAATACTTTTAATTGCCTTTTTTTTGATAAGGTATCTACAACTTATTAAAAATTTTATTTTTTGGTTTCTGTTTATTCTTGTATCAAATTTAATTCATTTAATACTTTTAAACAGTACTTTTTTTTATTAGTCTCTATGCATTTTATACATAAATATGTTACAGGAAATGATGATAATCCCTAATAAGGGAATTAAATTATATCATTACCTAGTTCATGTTATCATTTTCCAGTGATATCAGACAGATTGACATCACTAGGGTTCAGGATATATAGCATTTGCATTTCCATCATAGGGGATGTAAAACATAGCAGAGTGATGTACAAATACGTTTTATATTACGGACAAATCAAATATGAAATTTAATTTTATATTTTTACATATTTTGGGGGTTTTTGCATTTTTTTTTTTGTTATACTTAACGATTTTTAACCATTGATGGATATTATTGATAAAAATGCATTAATTAAAGCTATCTATCATAAAAATGTTGCACACACATGAATGCGATTTATAAATACTCAATAAATCGAAAACCATGTAGTTATCTGAGATGGTTAGTTGAAAAACTTCTGATATGTGTACTTATCTACATTCTTACATTTGTATCGCTCAGCAAATGATAAAAATAATCTATCTAGTGATCAATAAACTGCACCGGTGCACATTTTTTTTAGAACATTCAAAGCCCAATTTTTAAAGATTTTATTTTTTTAAATGTATTAATTAATAATTTTATTTAAATTCAGATTTTTTTTATATTTATATGAAATAAATCCTTCTTTTAATGACTTTTTAAGTGATTTTTTTTTTTCATTTTTAGTGCATATTTTTAAGTTTATTGGGTTATATTTAGGCGCATATTTTAGTTCTTTTTAGTGCTATAAGTCCTGAACCCTGGACATCACCCAGTAAAATTACATATCTAGTAAGCTGGTAAATTATTTAATTATAATTGCATTCAAAATATGTAGAAATTGTACTAAAATAAGTCAACATTGCAATGTAAAATACCTTATAGTTGCACAATGATTTCGTGTAAAATATGTAATTGATGAAATATTTCAACACTAGAAATGAACAAATATGATTTTTTTACGAGCTAATAATATAATATATTCTTAAATATAAAATATTGGCTGAATATTCTTTATTCTCCCAATTATGCTTTAAAGCATAAAATAAATTTCTTTCTACAAGTTCTGTATTTGATCAATTGTCTACATCAGTGTTTCTCAACCGGTGTGCCCCAACATTTTACGATTATTAATGTTAGGTTAGACGTTTACGTAAAATATCGGTAACATGTTGAAATATTTTTAATTATGATTGTAATAATATTTTTTTTATCCTAAATAAATGCACCATTTTAAATTGTTAGTTAGTAATATACTGATATACAACTACTTTGGTATTAATAATTAAATGATGAAAGCCTACTATAAAAAAAATATGTATACATATATAAGTCAGTGACAAGTGGGGTTTTTGCTAAATATGGGTTGGGAATAGTGTGTCGCGAGGGAAAAAGATTGGGAAACGCTGGTCTACATTTTTCACCCCCTTTCACCTGCATAAAGTCAATAAGTTTGTGTAAAAACTAAAAACCTAAAATCCTCTGATAATAGTATAAAATACTTACACCTAAATTTAAGTCATTAAAATGTATAGACAGTTACCTATCACTGAATTTTATTTTTGCATGGCAAACCTTTGTGACATTTATAATTACTAATGTCCATGTTTTACAATTCAATACCTCCTTACAACTCGTAAAGCACAATAATTGACAAATATTCACAGAGTATATGGTGGTGTGAAAATTACTTTAGAGAATAGTAGATATAATTTAAATCGAAGTAATTCAATCTAAAAACAGTTAATAACTATATAAATTTTGTATTTTTCAAAAAATAACTTTATTTTTTAGTGTAATATTATAATGTGTTATTAAACATTCTATTGTTCTAAACAATTTTAACATTTTTACTATTTTTATTTTTATTGATAACGATTATTTATCGTTACATCTTATGTAATAAACATATTTTATAAATAAAAATACTGTAATCCTTAGATTCAGCTAAATACTATGCTAAATATATATATATTCAATACTGATTTTTTTTTAATATTTTAAAAGATAGCGATGTATAATAACTAGGGGCCGAGATTATATTCTTTTAAAATAGCCAAAATAAGATGCTAATATTCTTTTAAAAAGTTGAAAATATTCTTCCAATATTCTTTAAAAATCATAATAAAATATGCAAAAAATATTCTTTTTTGTTAATATATTCTCTTGAATTAAAAATATGCATGCAAAATATTACAAAAAAACTGATATAAAAAGGTTTATAATAAAATATAATATGGAAAAATATATAAATTCTGGATATATGGATATAAATAGGCACATAATAAAAAATAATACATGTTAAAAAAAAATGTGATTAAATTATTTAAGGTTATGTTATATTACATTTAAGGTATTTTTAATTAAGAACATTTTTGAAAACAGTTGACAAATATATTTTGTTATATATTATGCGTTGTCGTATTTGTAAGACGGTCTGTTAATATGTTTTTGTACGTGCTAAATGAACTTTCGACATCAACTGAAGTCACGGGAGAATTTTGCTAATCAGTTATCATAGCCGGTGAAAAATTGTCTATATATAAGTAGCCAAGTAGGTCCAGGTATTTTTTGAAGTTGACCCATTATATTTTCAATTAGATTTATCGAATCAACAAGAGACACATTAGACTTTTCTAAACTTTTGATCGATGTTACGAGGACAAGAAAATGGACCTTATTAAATATTAGATCGTTTTAGATGGTTTCTAAGTCAAAAACTGTTTTACATTTAATTACGGACTGACTAGGAGATTTTTGGCTACTTACTATTACAGTACATTACTAATTAGGGCATAATGATCATACAATAATATATCAATATCATATCAGTATATCACTATTATCCGACATATAATTTACGCCACTGCAACAAAAAAAATCGAATATCTATAAAAATTAATCGATATATTCTTTAATATTTTGTATTATAGGAAATATTCTCAAATATGCAAAAAAAACTTTTGTCGTTTACTAACCGGTTTCATGATTTATAAAAATGTCAAACCCCTGTCTGACTGCATAGGCTCAAAAAAAATTTGCAAAAGAAAATGATTCCGGTCCCTAATAATAACATTGACTAATGAACTACAAAAATTTGAGGCAATAAAATAATTTCTTTCCTATATTAAGGTTGTCATACTTTCCTAAATTGTATAAATTTCATTTATGTACAATAAACATAAGACTAAGTTGTTGACTTACATTTTGTATATAACTGTAATAATAAAGAGGTATTTTTGATAAACTATTTTCTTTCAAAAAAAGTATTCAAAATTCGGTACTTATTTGAAGTAATTTATTCGTAATACTATCTTTGTCTAATAAAATGTAATAGTTAATGGGTACTTCAATTCTATTTTGAATATTTTACTAAAACAAAATGTATCAGTGTTATGTTTAAGTTAACTATATTTTTTTTTTACTTTTATGGATTAGGCGTCACCGTGGAATTCACCTAGAATAATGAGTCCTGTAGATGCTAGACATATATTAGGAAGTCGATCCACCGAAAACCTAAGACTATGTGATAATTATGCATTAGAATCGAATTTTGGCACACCGTTAAGAAGAAAAAGTTCCAGTAGGTCATTAAGAAGAAAATCCCCGCAACCAGGTGAACACAGACTTTCTGTAAGCCAGTCTAATCAAGATATGGAAGAATTTGAAAAGATTAACCAACCATCTTTGTTGAATAGGTAAATATGACATTTTTCACTAGTGTGTTATTTATTGAAAAATAATTTAATAGACAACTAATGTCTAATTTTATTTTTCAAATTTTTAAAGACCTATGGAACCGAATGAAGCTAAAAATTTATTATTATTGATGGGATCCAGAGATATTCTAGTACTTGAAAAAGTACTTGTGACTGTTAGTAATTTAGCAACATTTACTCCAAACCAAGTATGAGTATGATTTTATTTTATCAAACTCCTTAATATATATAACCATGCAATATGTAAACATTTAATTATATTTATCTATCTTGATATTTTTTTGTAGTAGAACAACTTTATAAATTAAATTAAAAATGTATATGCTTGTATATATATACATTTGCTATTTACATTCCTTGATAGAAATTTAAACTTTTTTTAACTCCTATACTAATGTACAAGTATACTTGAAGTATTAAAATAATTTTAAAAATAGATTTAATATTCATTAACAGTTCAGTTTCATTATCACACACAGAATTTAAATGCGAAATATATTATGGTATGAGCCCAGCAATTTAAAATGTTCACTATGTCTATTTTTTAACAAAATAAAAGCACAAAATATATTTGTGTAACTCATTATTTTGTTACCAAACTTTATTATTTAGGGCTATGGATAAATTAATTGTATTAACTATTTTAAGAAAACTCATAATAATGTGACTAATAACTCACTAATAACTTCATGTTTAATATTATAAACATGTATACATTAAGGGTGTGCTGGGTTGCTGTGTTTTTTTTTTTTAATTTTTAATTTATCCATAAACATTTAAAACCATTTATTTAAGCTTAAAAAAACATATAATTCTATTGTTATATTTTCAATGAAATATACATTTTGTGTGAAGATATTAGTTAGTTATTAGGAAATATATTTCATACTACTTCTTTAAGGCAAAACATTATTGATAAATACATTGTCTTAACTCCTTAATTTTGCACATTTAATAGTTATCCGTAAACTTTCGCACATAGAGTATACCTCAGAACTCATAAGTTATAATTAATAAGCTAACTATAAAATGTATGATTTATGTTATGAGTTGTTTGCTAACCAAGAAAAAAATACATTTGGTTTTATATTTTTAAATTTGTTATAATTTTTAAGGAAATATTAATACTTATTTCGGCATATTATATCCCTTACATTTCATTAAAATATATGCCTTTTAAATTTTTAACACTTGTTGTAAGTTGTAACCTTACTTTCTGGACATCCTTTGTAGTATAATGATACAATTTATCTTCTAAATTATATATTGGATGAGTAACAGGATTTAAATCAATTAGAATGAAGGGGTTTTTGACTATCCCTAAAACATAAACATATGATTTTTATTTTAAGGAAGTAATGAGGGAAGCTGGGTACTTGAGTCAACTTCAGCAGTTGATTTATCACCCAGAAGAATCTGTTCAAATAACTGCACTTGTGGCATTGGGGAATTTGGCTTTAAACAAAAATAATTCAAAAGAAATGAAGGTTAGATAAAAAAAAAATGGAAATTTTTAATTTTAAAAACCTAACTGTGTACTAATGTATATTTTTATGTTTTATTGTTATATTAATATTATTTACAGGAAACAATTCCAATGTTATTAGCCCTAATGAAAATGATGGATTCGGATGAGATTATTTACAACTGTTTATCCACTATGACCAACATTGCAGTATTCCATATGTGGCATAGTGAATTGCAACCAGCTATACATACTTTATACGGTTTATTAGAGAGTCAAAATAACAAAGTTGTTCTTCAATGCTTAAAACTATTAATCAACTTATCTTGTAATGATGATATGATTCCATATCTTCTAGGTGGACAAGTATGTTATTTATCATTGATAATGTGTGTGTCATGTTTTTTTTTATCATACCTAGTCCATTAATAATTAATATACATAGAAGTATGATGAGGATGTTATGTGAAATTTATTTGTTTTATCTGCTATAATCTATAGTATATTAATAAATATTGTTTTCCACTGTATTAGGCTCCCAAAAAACTATTGTCCATGTTGCACTTGAATGAAAATGAAGACATTCTACTTAGAGTTGTAACATTATTTAGCAATCTTACTGATGCCGTAAAAGCAATGGAATTAGATCCTGTATTAGATTTGCCTGTAGAAGACAAAGCCGCAGCGCCTGATACTATGTAAGTGTAAAAATTGTTCAAAGTCTAAGTAAAATACATTATTATTATTCAAAATCTTCAAAAATCATTAGTATATACTAAATAGCTTATTTTTTATTAGTCTTATGCTACTAGAAAATATGTTTTTTTCATAAATAAGTTTTATATCACTCACTTTCTTTCTCATCTAAAAACAATCTACATTTTTGCACATTGCCTGCCATGGCTGAGTTATATCTACTCATTGGCGTGTCCACAATCAAAATAAAACATATAATTCATGTAAAGTACGCTCCTAGCTATCCACTAAAATTTTTTTACCTTGCTTTTTTGTCGGTTTTTTTATTGTTTGAATAAATTTGTCAAAGCGTATGACTAACATCAAAACGTCCATTTTTATGCAATAAAACTTTGAGAAGCCTCGCCCGAATGGCCAAGTTATGCCGTATAGGTACATTAAAATTATGTAAAACAAAAATCTGCTCTCTTGTAAGACAAAAGATTTTAAGCATTTTCATTGTAAAACAAAAACTTGGAAGTCGTTCTACTCTATATTGAGTATCAAGTTTACCTGATGGTGCTCTCAACAATTTGTATTGGGAGAGAGCATAAACCTTGTATATTTATTATCTGCAAAGTAAATTGCAGGGACTACAATCTTGCTATAAGTGAAACGCAGCTACCTTGGTATGCAATGTGCAAAAATTTGATTTGATGCATGGTTGTACCTGATCTGCCCGATTAACCAATTTGCAACCAACTAACAAAAAAAAATACTAATTTCTTCTAAATATATTTATATTTCACTTATAACTAATAGCAACTATTTATAAACAAAAATGTCCTCCATAAATCGTAAAATCCCCAGTCGAGCACCTTCCCGAGTTGGACCTACCAGATCCATTAGTGAATCTAAATCATAAAGGAAACCACTCAAGCACACACAAAGAATGTCATCAAAATCGGTCCAGCCATTTAGACAGGCATGAAGGACACACAGGCATTCATTTATATATATACAGATAAAGCATAAGTTGAATACATTTTTGCCTAAAACAAATAGTATAATATATAACCTATATTATAATAATTTATTATTATTAAATTAATAGATATCTGTTATCAGTTGTTATTGCTTAAAATGAGTCTAAATATTTAGAAACAATTTTTTTGTGTGTAGTAAATAATAATATGTGTGGTAACAAAAATTGTCATGTCCCTAAACATAATATTTTTTGAGTTACATCAGAATAACTAAACTTGCTATTATTTGTTTTAATTACCAATTTTATCAAAAAATTGAATTTCAAATATCTATAAAAATATGTATAATAGTAATATTTATCATATAATTTTCTGAGTTATGACAAGTACTACTTATTAGGAACCTTGTATTAAATTTTCAAGCCTTATACAAATTATACATTTTTTACATTTCTAACCACAAAATAATTTACTAATTTCTTGAAAAATGAACTTTGAAGGCATTTTTAAAAAAAATTGTGGATCTTCGACATTTTTAAATTGCTGTTTATACAACTTATGAGAAATCTTGTTTTAATTTTTCCAGATTCTTGACAGAGCACAAACAAATCCTAAAATTTCACTGTCTATAAAAATTATAATTAAAGCAATAATGAAATGTTGGAATTTCTATTATTAATGTTTTTAGAATCAAAACAAATAACAATTAAGTAGAAATTGTTAATTTATGTTATGAATATCCAATGTCGTCAAACTCATCCTCATTAAAAATGTATTAACTTATCATGTGTTCAATTTTCAAGCCTAAGTATAAAAATTATTTATATCTTATAATTTTGAAAAATTTCATAAATAAAAATATTAAATTTTTAACACTTAAAAAAAACTTAAAAACAAATAAATATCTTTGTAAAACTACGCATTCATCACTCTGTTCATAATTAAAAATTGTTTTTAAAAAAAAACGCCTTGCAAAACTCTAAGCATGCTCATCTTATAAATATGCTTAAATTATGCATTTATTAAAATTCAGATTTTAGTAATTTTTGATTACACTTGAAGACCATTTTTCAAAAATTAAAAATTTTTTGTGCCATTTAAAGTTGATCCCGTGACAATACATACTTCAGTTTTTCAAATAGGAACCTCCCTTTTTTATTTTTTATTATTAAGAAGATATATTTTTTTAGAATTTTGATGTATCTAAATCAAAATGCAAGCTAGTAGTTGTTGAGTTATGTAATTTTGTGTTTTAAGGATAATATGTCTGGGGTAATGAGTTAAGTTGATAGGGAGCTTAGACGATTTGAAAAAGTTAGCAATTACTCTTGAATTATCAACACAATAATTTGCAAAAATTGTCCAATTTTAATAAATACTACATGTAACATAGTATAATCCACATTTTTATATTCATAAAATCTTTTTTAAGGATTAATATCCTCAGTACAAAAATTGTAATAAGTCAGAGACTACTCATTAGAAATGTTGATTTAGATACATCAACGTTTTCATAAAAATCATTCTTTAAATAATTTTCAGTAAAAAAGGTGGGTTCTCATTTGAAAAATAGAATTTCGTATCACCACAGGATACTCCTTGAGTAATACAAAAAATATCAGAAATTTGAAAACATGGTCTTTAAAATGAAATAAAGAAAATCTTATAAAATGTTAAATATTTTGTTATTTGAAAAGGTCAAGCACCAATTGATTAATGTAATAGAATTAGTTTTTTATGAAATAATAAAATGTAATTGTAAATGTAAATGTTTTATATATCAGTTTGTTTAGCAGGTATGCTAACATTTATGGTGTTAATATGGTAGAGAAAATACGCACAAAAAGCTTAGTACTGATGAAACAGCATAAAAATGAAGAAATTCGAGTTCGTGCACAAAAAATCTACAACGCTCTCTCCGACTAAATGTATGTTGTAATCAAGATTATTTTGTACTATATGTCAGCAACATAACATTCCGATAGTAATTGAGTTTTTATTTACTGTTTAAAAAAACTTATACCAACAAACACCTTGTTAAAATGTAAGTTTCATTACTAGGTTTATAATTCAAATGTATTATCATATTAGTATTATACATTATTGATACAAAATGACATTCTATTAAAACTATTTTAATTAGTAACAAAATGTACTATAGAATTTTTTTTTTCACCTTTTATTATTATCACTGTTATTTATTATAGCAATAATTGTGTGATTTGCTATTTTGTTATTATGAATTAATGAGTTCCTAGTAATAAAATTAATTATTGTACTTTTTATGTAGTGCCATACATAGTTTAACTTTAATTTACTTTATAAAACAACACTCATGAACATTTTAATCAATGTTTTGTTACCATTGTACTAACTAGTTAATAAAATCACATGCATAATTTTAATTAAAAAATTCTTAAGTATTCTAAATATTTAATGTAGTGTTTTACTGTAATAGTTTAATCTTCCATCAGAATTACTGTATATTTAATTCTCAATTTAGAATATATCATATTTTACCATAAATATTTCTGCTAGCATGTCTTAACTGTTAATTGATATATTTTATATCAATAAGTAACTTTTAAGGTAGCTTGAGACCAACTTTGGCATTAATAATGTTTAATGTCTATGCTGTTTTCAATTAAATATATTACGACAGAATTCATTTTACTTTATAGAAAATGCATGGTAACTTCTAGTACTAAAACCACTAGATATATTATTTTTCTCATAAGAAATTTTTACTTGACATCTGTTTTAAATGTGTTGTTACTATTTTTATATCCAATAACATTATGTCCACGTTATATGTTGATTATTTTGTTCAACAAATAATATTAATAAGCTTCGAATGCACTGTTTGTCTATTATGATCAACTGTTTATTATCTTATTGATGTTAGAAATAAATTATTATTTATTTTTCAATAATGTTATACAAATAATTATGTTTCATGTTCATAAAATATATACGTTACAAAATTAATAATTACTTAAAATATATGTTTTATTATTGTCAATTCCTGAATCTGAACTATATTTTAGTATCTATCTATGAAGTAATTCATTTTTAGAAGAACTGGTTCATTCCAGTTGCACCAAAGTGTTTAAAATATACTATGACATAGTACATCAAGTCTACTATAACATGTAAAATGTTGAAATATAGGTTACATAAATATTTTTTTTAAATGTAAGGTAGAAGCTAAACCCACTTGCTTATAGTCTATACTATATCTATGGACCCCCATAATCCTGATTGCCGAATCATTGTCTATAGGTATCATGTACCAATTTATAATATGAATCAAAATTAGTTAAAAGGACTTCTGCATTTGGTGACATTATTTATTTTATACATTCCATTTCGTCCAGTACTCAATGGTAGGGATTCTAATCAATCAAGCATATCGCAATATTTTTGAAAATTTCTATTTTCTTTATAAATTATCACAAACCAAGTTTCTGAACTTTTCTATGTATCGATTGACCCAAATGATAAAAATATCATTATAATTTATACAACTACTTACCAGATGACCTATAATTTTGGAAACGATTTTAAGCCCTGCTTTGGAGTGTTTGATACTTTGATGATGAAAGTTCACGGGAATAACTACACCACAAATTTAAAACCAAATAGAGTGAAGAATATAGTTGTCTTTTATGTGTACCTAATAAGTACTAATATTAATTATTAGTAGGTATTATTTATTTAATTTTTGAAGCAGCGATTTTGTAGTTAGAAAATTTTTTACAAGTAACATAAATAAATAATTACATTTTTAGGAAAAAGAGAAAAAATTAACAAATAATACAAAATATAGAAATTGGAATCATGATAATATTAAGAACCAAATACATAATAATTACATAGAGATCACAGGAAACACCATAACGTGTATTATTATCTACACTACTTAGGTACGCAATACGCTTACAAAACAACCATATTATATGATGGGTTTGGGTTATGTGAACAATCACTAAACATTTAATAAATCAATAAATACGTAGGTAGTGAGTTAAAGGTCTCGTATATAAATACGATTTAGCAAACCATGACGCTGGGTGTTTATCCATTTAATTTTAGTGAACCATTAAATTAATTTATTTTGCATGAAATGTATTAAAATTGTTCATAATTTTATACACCTATAGGGATAATGAATTATGATTTTTAAATACTTAATAACATCCACGGTGATCGAGCTATAGTATTATTTTCTCGAAAGTTTAATTTTCGATGCCTGTTGAAACATTGGAAAATGAAAACTAGTAATGACTATTTTCCGTCCAGCGGAAATATTTATTTTCGACTGGTGTTCGGTAAACGCGAAGTCCCGTTCCTCAGGGATCGGAAAAGTTAGTGTCCAAATCAAAATAATAATATGGTTAGGTACATAAACCTACCAATGCCACTATTAGTCTTAAATCTGGTTCCCACGGCTATTGTATTTGACGAATATTTAGCATTTTTAATTGATAATCATCGTTGTACTTTATTAACTGCACGAGTATTTGGTTGGTATTCTTTTTTCATTATTCACGATTCACAGTTCCAGCGAATTCTCGGTAAAGTTACGAGTCAAAAGAATATATAATGGATATATTTGTGAAATACTCAAGTAATTGGAATGATCTACTTCAGACGGTGTTCTTTCCCCCTCCCCACCCCCGGCCAGTGGTGGAAAGCCTGGTCTAGAAAAATTGGAATTTTCCAAATGGCCTGGTGGCTCGGTAGTTTTATATTAGATTTTATTCACAAAATTTGTAAATAAGTCAACAATTTTTTTGTATTAAAACTATAAAATTATTGTATTCAGTGCAGCTCGAATTTTGAAAAATTAAGTGGAGGAGCTCAATTCTAATTTTAAATACTACGTCCCGAGTGTAAAACTATTAAACACAGACAAATGGTGGGCTTTGCCCCCCACACCCCCTTCTTAAATTTTGAATATGAAAGTTCAGCTTAGTTTAAACATATTGCCTTTATTGTATTCAAAATGAACTCCCATTTTTATAGAAATGTAGTAATAACTACATAATATTTCTGTAGGAAATATCAGTTATAATATCTTGATTCATGGTTCAGACTCAAATGTCAATTAACAACACTAGTCCACAGATATTTGAGGTAATACCTACCTATAATAGTTTATTGTATGTAATTTAATATCTGTAATAAACCCAAAATAATCTTTGAGTGCAGTCATGCAGATGTGATGTGGTAAAGAGCGTTAAGTCTTAAGATTTTGGTATTAGGTATAGTGATTGTGTACTGGTGTTGAGAGTGTCGATTATGTCATTAATTGTGTACTGCTAAATAAAAATGGTTTTCCTTTTATATTTTCAGTACCTATTGATTGTTAAAATTTGTTATTTTTACTATTTTCTTAGTTATTTGTTCATTTCATACATTTAAAATTTTTAATCCTCCCTGTTAAGCAGATTGTTTGTGAAAGATCATTTTCTACATTGGAATATTTGAAAAGCAGACTAAAAAAGTAATGAACTAATGATCAATAAACATCTTAATCTTTTATGCTTATTATCATCGAAAATAAAATGACCATAAAATTAGATAACAATATTATAATAAATGCATTTAGTAAGAAATCTAGCCATTACCTAATTAATTTTACACTTCGGCGAGCGTTGTAGTAGTCTAATAATTAATAATACAAGGTTTCTTTAATTGATTAATCATATTACTTATCATTTGAAACTGGAAATTACAGAGTTACAATTATTATCTTAGTTCGTGTTTTTGGTAATCTAACAACACATAATATGGGCTAACTGCTAACCAATAGTAATCGCTAATCAGTAAATCTCTTAGTGATTTTATTACAACTACGAGTACGGCTGTAGTACGTTTGTCCTTTATACAAATTAATGCGGTATGTCGCCAGGTATTATTTTAATTTTACCTTTATGAAAACGGAAACTTAATTTTTTTAATTAACTTAACTAGTGTTAGAAAGTTAATATTAACTTTTAGTTAACTTCTAAAGTTCTAACTTAGTTAAATTAGTAGACAATTTTGAATTTATTTTATTTACATTTTAAATTATTTTATTGTTAAATTATTATTTGTGTTTGTTGGAAACCTTTTCCTTTTATAGCTTTCAAGCTTTTTTTATGTCTGGTTGATGTGCTGTTACTTGCAAGTTTCAAGGCAATACATGCTGCCAAATCTTTCTCGGTTAATCTGTTTCTAATTTTTGAATGTGTATGACTTAATAAAAAAAAATTGTTGACGGAATAAAAGATATCTGGAATATTATTCTATACTTCTAAAATTATACTCTCAACACCGTATAATCTGTTCCTTATTAATGTATTCGATGACGTTCCAATTCTTCGATACGCATTCGCATATTCACTAATTTGTCTGTCCAAACTTGATTAGTTTGCAAATCGTTTTACTGCATTTCTAAATTTTCTAATTCCGTCCAATTAAGCGATAATTATCAGCAAAATCTTGCACATCAAATAAATCGGTATAGTTAATAATTTTTACCAATTTTTCAATTCTCTTAAAATCATGAAATCTTTGTGAAAACTGTAATTTAATAAAACCAAGAATATTTGAAAATTCATTTTTAAAATCTCAATTTGTTTGTTCAAAAATGTCTACTTTAATTAACATTTTTTTTAGTCTTGAGAAATATAGAAATATGCCAGATTACGAAAAACTCACACACAGTCAAATTCCCTCGACCATTATTTTGGGGAAAAGATGAGTTTTAGTTAAAACCAGTTCTCAAGAGGATGTTACACGGACATTTGTTGTCTCCGTTTTTCAAGTGTGTAACATAGCAAATTTGACTCTTAGTTGGTCGCGTTTAGCTCCGTTAGTTGAACAATTAGAGTGAATTGACCTTTTATAATATTTAATTTTACGATTATTAATTATTATCTATAGCGTGGCATAGGATTTTTATTATATTTTAATTTTAAAACGAGTTATGAGTATTTAAAAATTGTAATCTTAAAATACTCATAATTCGCCTTACAATTAAAATATAACGAAAAGCCTACAAAAAGGTGCTTTTTCCTATGTTTCCAAGGGCGCTAACAAGTCTTCCTACACCACTGGGACTGTGTACGATTTTTTTTCTGACCAATTTCGTGAAGGTACCATGTTGTTCTAAGCAACCGATTATATGATAGATTTCGTGTCCTAATTATCGAGTTACATTTCACATAAGTTGTTCTTACAGTAACAGAAAAATCTCAGAAATGCATAGACACAATCTTTTTTATATAATATATATTTGAAGTTCTAATTTAACTCTTTAATTAATCATCCTGGTAGTACAGGCTGCATGTACATGTAAAATGGCGTATGATGGAGAGATATACAGCGTTACTTGCAACTCACTTTTCTAGTTATTTTATCATAATAAATGTTCAAAATGGACAATTATAAGTGCATGGTAAAACAACATGATGACATTTATGAGATAGGGAGCGACTGCTATTTAGTAACTTATCGTTTGGCGGAGTTACCATATTATGTAGCTATTATTAAAATTATACTACATATATTAAATATATTGGATACGGCATTCCTATCTTCACTAAACATGTATGATCTAATGCTGACAAAAACAATGATTGTCACTCCGTACTCGTACAAATCATGTGAGCGATTAAAAATCTATCATACCAATATAAACAATATACTCTAATACTCAATAGGTAGTAATTAAACGAGTCAAGAGATGCACCGATGTTATGGTCAACAGTGGTATCAGTTGTGTTAACTTCTAAATGTATGTACATTGTACAATACTGCATCCACAAGTGCATTGATGATTTGTACAAAGATTTTACATTTTTAAAGCTTATAAGATTTTGAGATTTAGCAATGACTAAAAGTTCGCTTTTTTCTGTGCCAGTCACCAGACTTGTTATTAAGTTTATATTTTAGCACATACTAAAACTGCGAATTTATATTTTGATATAATTTTTATGATTTTTTTTATCAAGTTATAGTTCACTTTTGAATACTTAAGATCTACTGCTAGCTTAGACAGTTGGACTTTGGACTGGTAGTTATGAAACTTCTTTTAATACCAACCAAAGAGGTAGTAAGACTTTTGCGGGAAAAGGAATTAAGAGAGCTACGCTGAATATTTAAAAATAAGTCAGTATTACTAGATACATGTTTAAAACAAATAAATAAAAATGTAAAACTAACCTCAACTATCCATAACATCCAGAAAACATTTTCATAGAAAATTACATTTTAAAGAAGATGAAATAGGTAATTTATGTAATAAATTATGTTATGGAACGATTAGTAAACAGACACTTAGATAAAAACATAATAAAATTTAAAAAAGTTTCGGTTTTAAATAACAATTGTTATGATGAATTTAAAAAATCTATATTTTAGGATTTAATTAGAACATTTGAAATAAAAGCAGGTAATTTTCACAATAAATTCTAGACACTATTATAATAAAGGAGGGAGTTTATTAGTTCTTCAAGAAACTCATAAAATCACAATATTGTGATCTGACAAACACAAATTCACATATTCACATGGCGCACGCACTGATGTCAAACTTATTAAGTGCATTTTTGCTTGTATATGACAAGGAACTATAAGGAAGTGTAAATATAAATACTAAAGTACTTAATAAAACATTTATCATTATTATATATATTAGGTACCTACTTATGTAATTATTATGTATACCATGCTATTTATTATTATAGCTATAATTTATAATTATTGTTTATTGTGGATAACGGAGAGATAACAAACCTGTAGAGTGCTGTGGCAATATAGTGTCTGGCGTCTGCTGCAAGAGGGGAAATAACAAACCTTTACTGAAACTTATATTATGTGTTTGTAGTACCTAATGAATTATGTGTCATAAATATATTTTATATAGGACTATATAAAAATGTAAAACACATGTACAATGTACATAGTATTAGGTAGATAATATATATTATAATCAGTGTTTATAGCCATTTGTACACTTCATAATCAAGGAATTCCTTTAAAGCTTAAGTTCCAGATCACGCATCTAGTCAAATGCATTTATATGTAGCTGACTAAACATGGGTAAGCAAGCAAATAGCATTGAAATTATTAATACCCAAAGTTCTTGTAAGATTTATGTGAGTCAATACCCCCACGCAGCTATATCGCCACTTGCAAGATGCCAAGATCACTTGTCACTTGCCCATTCACTACACAATGTAATTATAGTATCAGCCATTAATTAGAATAATTGAATTACCTATTCCATCTTCAAATCTGCAATGAAACTTTAGTTTAGCGGACTCCGCTCTGTAGGGGATATATCGGTTGCGTGTTATTTTGTCCTAATAATGCAGTAGTCCTAATACTTCTAATAATCCGAAATAAAAAAAGGAACATACTCGTACACATTTGTTTGTGGTTAGTTACCTACTGATTTAGTAGTACATACCTATAGGGGAATATTTGTATAACATAATATATTATATGTAATACATATAATTTAAGTATAAACTGTTAATATTTTTTAATGCATAAAGAAATGCATAGGTACCTAGGCCTGCTTATTTATAAAAGATACATATTTTTTTAATTCGTGGAAACAAAAAAATGATTAATAGAACTTAGTTTATTAGTCTTCACTGATTGTTGACGAATTTACTCTGAATAGATGTTCAAAGCACATGTAGGGCTACGGATATAGATAAAATTGTCCAAATTATCCCGTTTCTTGGCCAGATAAGCGGTACACTTATACATTACAATCATAAGTTTACTTTGGTTATTGGCCATAATGCTCGTGCATCGGAAATAATTTTCTTCCAAAATTCAAAACGTAAGTAAGTAACGCATTTTGGGACTTTGAGTACTAAAGATCTTGGGCACCAAACACTAATCACCACCTTATAAATAGTTATACTTTTGAAACAATCACATAGGAATTTAACACTGCACCCAGTTGTATTGATGGCGTATACAACTGTATAAGTGATAAATCTATATTCGATTGATTGCAATGTTTTGGAAAATATTTTGGTTAACTAACCTGAAAGGTAGAAACCTGTTTTATCAAATAAATTTAATAATTTATTGTCTCTAGCTAGAGGAGTCATACGCAACAAATAATTATTCCAGGAAAAATGTTGGGCATCCATCTTTATTTTAACAAGGTCTTACTAATTTAACAAACAAAAAATTTGTTTGGTAGAAGTCTATCCTTCAGTTTTATTGTTAGTGCTTTGGTTATCTTTTAACTTAACTTCGTATACAGTACCACAGTGTACATTCCAAATGAAAGAGGATATGCAGTGGAAATTCCCCCAATTTTAAAACGGTTTGTGTATTGTGTAACATAACTTTATTAACTATTAACATAATTCTTCCTCCCAGAGGACATTTTTTTTATTTTTCCTAGGCATTATTACATCTCTTCTTACACCTAGATTCAGATAAAATACAAAAAATAATAATAAAATACCTATGTATTAAAAAGTTGAATGATTTAAATATTTAATATTTATTTTGTATCTACTTATATGTTTGTTGGTAATTGGTATATACTTATTACTTGGATTAATCATTTTAAAATCAAAAAATTGATTCACAATGGTGCTGTAGTGGATATCTTTCTTTTATTTATCTTTCTAATAATTTAAGGGTGGAAATCCAAAACGCGCTATAGCCTATTGCCTAAATTAACAAAATCGAGTTGGATGTCAATATTCATGTAGAAAAAACATCGATAAATTGATTGACGCTGGCAGGATGAATCAAAACGTACTATTTCCTGGTAAAATTCGCTATTCAAAATGACTGGTTAATAAAGACCTGACCTTTTCATACACAAAAATGATATTTAATATTTAAATAATCAATGGGTAGGTACTTTTCTTATGTTACGCATAAACGTTCTATACGTTTCTATACCCGTGCAGTAGGTATAGAAAAGTAATATAATTAATCTAAAACGTAATGAAATTCAATTTTTTAAATGTTGATTAAGTTTAAAATTCAATTTTAAGATTTTTAAGTTGGTACTCATTGAGTTGAAGTCAATTTGTTGATTGTCAGTTTCACAAATATTTCTTAATGGCGAATATGCCGGCCCTGGCAATATGCCCTAAGTACCCTATTAACATAATATTATAATCACGCGCATATGTGGTCACTAGCTAAAACGAATCGATTCATTATAATTAATATGTTTGATTCGTTAAATTATCATTTAGCGGACAGGCGTCAGCCGTGTGAACAGCCGTATATATTCTGAAGCACGCCATAAACAAATGACCGTTGTTCATGACATTGTCGATTCGGTATTCGTATCAGCTTTGAATGGTTTTACTCCTTAATATTATTGTTATACGAGTTGTCAGAGTCGGTTAAATGATTTAGTAATGGTGGTAAGGGATGTGGGAGGTTTTTGAATATAAACTATATTATTATAAATATTGAAAAAATATTTGACCGTTTGACCGCCACTGAAAGATATATGATACAACGAGACACGAGTGTGTATAAATTATTATTGATACGAAACAAGACGCACAACAAAATATTATCTTCGTCGTATTGAGTGCTTAAGTGCATTCATATTGTGACGAACAGCTGTTCCGCGGTCACGGGTGTCCGGTTTTGTGGTGGGTTAAATTTAAATTGCTCAGGACATTGCCCGCTTCCCGTTCGCGGTAATACAATTACAACAATATTGTTATCGGATGACTGTGCGAGAGCCTTGAGTCGTGACCCGTTACTTTACGCGAAAGACGCGGTCGTTCGAACCCGTTATTGTTTTTATGTTTTCGCAGTTCCGATTCGCGCACGACCTAATGCGTCAGACTATACGTGTATATATATATTATATTTAATAGCAGCTTGTCCAGCCTGACGAATCTCGGTTCACGTAAAATAATATTATTTACCGTAACCGCAGCGCGCAAGGCACGAACCAAGACGCCGTTATCTTTAAGCCGCCCTTATCACTCCCCCGATACAACAACAACAAATTACAACAACTTACTATTCAACGTTACGACGCGAACCGATAATATCGGATATTGATATCCCAGACCCCTGTAAGTTCCGTCCCAACACTAACGAGTAGACGGATGATAACAACGATAACGTCGATAACAACGATAATAACAATAACAACGATAACAACGATAATAACAACTAGGAACTACAGAAAATATACAGCCTCGCTCGGTAGTCGATAATATCCGCGTCACCTTCGACTGCTACGTGTGCGAAGCGAATAGCGATGTTCACTCGGATCAGCCTCGGTTGCGTTTGAAAATGAACGCCCGCCGTTCCGTCGCCTCCGAGTCAACCCTTCGCTGCAGCCGTCGTCACGTTGTCGGACGAACTGTCCGTGGGAGAAAGCGTACTGTTGTACCCGCATTCCGCGATCCTTAAATGCGTCGTTGTTTGCGACGTCCTTTTATGCTGTTCAGTCCAATGTTTCGAAGCACACAGGATTTATGATCAATTGTAAGTAGAGCAATACGACGAATTTTTACTATGCTTCTAACAGAATTCCAAATCAAATGCTGCTGCTGAAAAATTGTTTTTTGTTTAATTGATGATTTAACTCCTTAACATTTCGCATAAAACTTAAAAGTACTTTTTTCGAACTGCTTAAAAATGTGATGGTAAAAAAACACTGTGTTCATATAACGCTAAAGATTACCACTAAAATGTATAACTTGTCAATGTGCCCACATGAACACATTCGTTTTTTAACCATTTTTTAAAATTGTTGTTTATCTAGTTTAAAGATTGAACTGTTATTACTATGTGGAGGTTCTTAGTATTAATTCCATGGTGTCTGTTTAATGTAGGGTCTTTAATAATATAATTTTTACAATTGCCGCTCTTAGGTATATTAATTTCATTCAATAGAATGGTATTTGAATTACTATTACCTATCTATTATATCATACCCTTTTTCTTATGCGGTACTACTCCATTATTTAGGCTAACTAATGGTTTGAGCATTTATCAGGAATATGACGACAAATAAACATATTTATTAATATTAAACTTTAATAAAAAGGACATTAAAAAAATTCCCGGGTACATAATTTATTACGGATTTTAAAATAAACATCTAAACATAGAAATATTGATTAAGGGTACAATTAGTTTTATCTTAAAAGATTCATAAAAACAACATTTAAACCTATAGGTAATATATAATCATTTAAAAAATACAATTAAAAATAACATGTATAACACTGATCAAAATAAAATGTGTAATAGGTACTAAATAAATAAATTGACATTATAACTAGCTAAAGTAATATTATTTTGTACTTGTATTTTATGTGTTATAATAGTGAAAAATGTAAACATAGCCGCTTGGAAAACATACTGGCGGTGCAGAAATGTAACCATAGCTTACAAGCATGCGTGAGAGTTTATTAGCTTCATCTTCCCAAAACTATGCTTTTTTCACAATACTAAATTTTCATAGTTAACTTTTTTTTTCAAGCAACTAAATATACTTGTAAAAGTATAAAATATGCTCATAAATTCACAGTTATTAAACCATGTTTTTCATACATACGAACAAAAATTGTTATTAAAAGAATCTGAGTATGCCACACCTGCATGTATTGTTTCTGTCTAGCATAAATACATTCTATGTACAATATACCTACCAAGTTTTCATTAAGCAGAAGCAAAAAAATGTTCGTTAGCTTTAATACTATCTATATAATAATTATAATAAATTGATAAATCACCTAACTTAAAGGTAATAATATTATTCTGGGCATGTGTACCGACCCTTTTTTGTTGTTAATTCTTATAAGTATCTCGAAACAAGCAATACATGTTATACTATCTTTGTGTAAAGTAATTTTGATAATGCAGACTATTGTGTTTTAATATTCTTTTAATAAAATATTCATTCATCCAAATGTTCATCTATCAAATGTATGACATTTATTTAAGTTTATACTTATTAATTATTGTATTATTCAATTATTGTGTGTATAAAACTTTAATGTACTTCTCCATACAAGTTAACAATTAGATTTTGGAACCGCGGTTGCGCATTTCTCGTTTAAAACAAAATCTAGTTTAACTAATGAATATCTACACTTCTTGTTAAAAATTGGTGTTACACATTTTACACTTAATATTAAATGATTAGTTAAAGAAAAGTAAACACACATTTATTTCTATTAAAAATAAATATTACCGTATAGCATTAATAATAAAGTATTGTTTTTTTTTAAATTAAAAATGACTGTAAGGCGTTTTATAATGCTTAAAAGTCATCAAAAATACAACTTTTTTTTTTGGTAATAAATTTTCTTTAAATTTTTACCTACTAGGTATTTGTTAAAAAATTTCTACTGGCTGATTGGAATACTTCTGTTGGCCGAGTTTGGTCCATTTAGTACTGTTGATCTAGGGATATATAGATTTAAAAATTAAAATATCAATAAAAATCAGGAAGATAATATTCTTACCTTTAAATTGTATGATAATATTTTATAATATTTGTCAGACTAGACTACATTCTTCTGATTACAATCCTACTTCTGATATTTATGTTAACTTCTCCAGGGGAAATAACTTCAAAAATCAAGCTGCCGGATTAGGAATCGAATCCGAGTCTTCCGCTTGCCGGGTGATTGCTCTATAACTAAGCTACCTGACGGCTTAGACTTTGACGCTTCTATTCCCAAGTTAACAGAAGTTTACACTAAATTTGAAATTTTTTCTAATAACTCTAATTATAACTCCAATTGGTTCAACTGAATGCAAATTTACTATAGTGTGCATTGACCTGGATTGAACTAACTAGGTACCGATAATATCTCGATGGGCTGCTCTAAATCAAGGAGCTTAGAAAGAATATATACTATAAATAATATTCCTTATAAGTTATGTACCTACATTGTATACTATACTAATAAAAATGTAAGTACAATAGAATAGAAAAATAACTGATGGTGAAAAATGAAAATAAATTATAATACCCAAGTGTTTATCATTTTATTGTTATTTATGACCTAGTAATAACTTTTGCTCAAAATCTAAAAAATGGTACAATTTGTTTTACTAGTGGCCAGTTATGTATTTAGGGCCGATATACATTTAAAATCTTGGTGTGCCAAAATTAGTCTGCCCAGCCCTGGTTGTACAATTCTGAGATGGAGCAACGCCTGAAGGTGTGACACTTTTTTATCATTCTCTTATTCAAACATTTTAACTAGGCACAAATTAAATATTTTAAAAACATTGGATTTTAAATTCAAAATGTTGGCATTGATGAAACAAGATTGCCTTGAAAATTGCATTGAGTCACGCATTTAAACCATTCATTTTTCTTTGATCGCCTTGCCCTTGTCTTTTGGCGTTGGTGGGACAAAAATATTTTTTGCCTCTTCAGATATTATCAGAGGAGTAAATGCAACCCAATGCCACACCTAATTATGCAACAAAAAATAAATGATGCATATGCATTGATTTAATACTTACAATAATGGATCTCACAATAATTGGGTATTGGTTTCCACTAACCATTATGAAATTCAGCATTAGTTTAAAGTTTAAGTTAGTGTAAATTTTAATAATTAATTTACTCTAACACATTTGAATATTTAGATTTGTTTACTTCAATTCCGTAAAATGTATAGTTATGTTTAGAGTTTACAACTGCTTAGTACTATGCTCATAAAAAATAAAGTTGAACACCTACAACATTCAAACTTTTGTAATTGCCATAAACATTCATAATAATTAAATGTGTTTAATATTTTACATTATGTTTTTGGAAGGCTTTCAAGAATGATATTTTCTTCAATTTTTATTAATAGTAGTATAGATAAAAAATACAGTTTTCCTATTCATCCATAATATTTTTTCTAGATGAAAGATGTTTACAAAAAAGATTCCTAGTTTTGTTTTGTTATTTGCATTAAATACACATTTGATAAGTCTTATTGAAATGTCCTCATACAATACATTTATATATATATATAAGCCATGACAGAAGTCATTGGTATATTATAAACTTATATGAGTAATGAAAGTATTCTTACAGTATATATGGTTACAAGTCTGTTACCATCACTGAAAAGTCTAACTTCTTGACTAGAGTATAGTCTTTGTTTTGCATTCAGTTCAAAAGGCAATACATCATATTCTAAATAGTTACATCTCTGGCAATGTTAAGAGTTTTTAATTGTTGAATTAAAAAAATCACTGGCTGATACCATTGAGGTATTGATTGAAAAGCAGTCAGTATCATATCTGTTTTGGATGAAATGATAAACTTTTCTTCCTTGAGTAGAAAAATTTTCTCCCAGGAAAAAAATGTTTTTTTATAATTATATTTAAATCCATATAATGAATTAATCATTAATTATCACTCATATAAATAAATAATATTTTGAAAATATTTAAATAGCTTATTTCAGTAAAATATTAATTGTTATCAGATATTCTATTAAATTATTTTTTCATTTCAAAAAGTTGGTAGTATTTGGCATTTGTTATGTCGTTCTTCATCTTAATTTGACATCCAAGAGTAATGAAAAAACTGAACATCATTGTTAATTAGTATATTTTCCCAATAGTTATTGGTAAATTATAGTTTTATTAAAGATTGAAGTTTCGAGTTGAATTGACTGATACACTGTCAATTCAGGGTGTTTAAAATAATATTCTGTTACTCATGGTATAACTTTGTAAAGATTGACGAATTTTTCGATTGGTTTGCTCACTTTATGAAAATTTTGCTGTTTTTGAAGGGTTGAACCCTAAAATGTCTACGATTAGTTTGTTTATAGTTTCAAGCTATAATTTTACAGGGAATATTTTCCAACAAATATCTTTGATTTTTTTGACCGTATGTGATTTGAAAATCTCTGAATTCCCCATGCACTCTGTGGGTGGCCGTCCCAACACTTACCCGCCTTCCCAACACTTACCCGCCTTCCCAATTGTCCCAACAACATTTTGTTTACCGTCCCGTTTACGTATCGTTAAGTTTGCAGCACTGTAGAGGAATTTATCATTCCTACTGCGGTCACACCACGGCTGTAATACTGACAATATTTGATATCTGACGAATGGGAATACTGACTACTGAGTATGTGACTATCGCACAACTGTTTTTGTTAGCCATTTTCATTTGATCATTTCATTGGGTCCGTCGTCCCGTCAAGACGTCAAGTTCTTCCGACATTTTGTTGACTGGGGTATCATTCATTTATGCGTCAACACGTTTAAACGCCTCTAATTGTCCAAAAGTGAGTAATGTACCTTTTAAATACTCCGATATTCAACGCACATTCTTTGGCTAGTAGATTATAAATGTTCATTATCATTTATCTTATAGTTAACAAAATGTTTAGATCGGGTGATACGTGTGTTGGATAAAAACACGTTTTTTTCCGACCACAGTAATCTCGTTTGTTTCCATTCCTCAAATATGTATATAAAATATCGATCTACTACTGATATAACCGCGGCTGGCAGATAACATGTAAATCGCTTTAATTAACCTAACATTAAATTTCTAACATTATGATGTGCCCCAAGACGGTTATGTAGACATTAACCTAACCTTCCTGTAAACCTAATTGAATTTCTTACAGTTAGTACGAACTTTGTTCATGCTAATTATTAATTGAATATAAATTACCTACATTAAGAATTCCATTTAATTAACCAAATGGATAATATGAAAATACCTAAAACCCAGTTTAAAAACATAGGTGAATAATAATAACATAAAAACCTAATGAGGTTTTTAAAACGTTTACAATTTAATAATTGTTGGCGGTTACCCAAACAAAAGTAATGATTACAGCCATACTTATAATCTTTTAACAATAAATATTAAATTTTTGTAGGCATCACTTTAAATTCTTGGCAAATACTTTAATGTTAGCATTGATTTTAGAACTATATTATATTTATTGTAGACTATTTTTTGGGTACTAATAAAATTAACCAAGTGTTAAATAACATTAAATGTTACCACTTATGGATCTAATAATAAATTCAATATATTTACAATAGTAATAGGTATCTTTTTTAATTTATAAATTTTTATTTACTGAACAATTTATTAAATATTCAAATACTTAAATGTAACTTAATTACATTTTTTAAATAGTTGTAGGTAATACATGTTATAATCAAATTTATATCGGTTTTGCATTTTTAAATTATTATAACTTGGGTAGGTATAATACTTAAAAAAGTTAAGAAAAAATAAATTACTAATACAAATAATGTTCTTTGTCGTACTTAGACATAGGTAATATGTTTTCATCTAATCTGTTAAAATGTAATAATAAGGACTGCCCCTAGAAATAATCATAGTAAGAATTGATAAATACTGAACATATTAACTACCTATTTGTGTATCCACTATTTAAGTAAGTATACTCACTACTTATGTTAGAATTTTAGAAACATACATTTTTGTTAGCAATATTCAAAATTGGATTGCAATTAATAATGACATTCCTAAAATAAAAATTTTAATGACTACCTAATTAATTCTTAATTTTTTTAAGATTAAGGTACTTAACAGGTACATTTGAATTATATACATATAAAATTAATTTTATTTACTAATTGAGTTATTTGTTTTTTTTTCTAGGTTAACAATACAGTGAACAAAGACAATTGGTATCAAATTTATACATTCAACTCATTATAATAATTTGAAGGTTTAAATTTCTTTTTAAAAATAAGTATCATTGATCATATCAATGAAGAAATCTATGGTCTTAACAGCTTATAAGCCTAGAATATTAAGAAATGGTAAGATTGTGATTTCAAAAAAAAAAAATACAATTCGAAAAAAGCCTGCTCCAAAGGAAAAGATAAACAATAAATTATCTTTTCTTAAAACAAGTTCAAATGATATAATTAATTTAAATGTTAAAAATAAAAATGATATGATGGTTGCTTCTAATTATAACCATATTATACTTGACAATCGTAATTTATATGTAATGCTTACTAAATTACCACCGTCAATAAGCAATAGAAATCTGTTTGATCATAACAATAATAACAATAATAAAAATTATACAAAATTAGAAGATTATATTCAATCAAATGAACTACAAATATACAATAAGCTTGAACCAAAGATAGAAAAATGTCATATGTTAACTACAAGAAAAGAAACCAAACAGACACGTATAACATCAGACTCTTTTAATAATAAAAGTGTTTTAAAATCTACAACAAGTGATCATTCAGTAGCTAATCAAACTCCTGATGTACGAATTACACGTGGAAAATCAGTCAAGCTTCAAACAGAAGAAAGAAAACAATTGGATCAAATAATTTTTGATAAATTTCCTAACAATACATTCAAAATGTTTGCTATTAAATTACACGATATTAACGAAGAAGTAAAATTCCTCCGGACACTTGGATTGATATGTCGTTTTAAATGTCCCTTTACGTGTAAGATTAAAAAAAAAACATAATATGTTTTACTTTTGTATTGTCACAAAGTTAAATCATTTTTATATTTATCTTAGTTTTAATTTACCTAGGTAATTAAGTATGCTGTTTAATAGAAGAAGATTTTTAAATGTTTTTTGTTACAAAAAATTAATTAGATTTAATATAGGCTCGGTCTGGATCAATGAACTTTTAAATTTAAAAACTACTTTATTATTATTTAACTTTATATATTGCTTATGTATTATATAATGTATTGATTAAATTATAGTTGCTGATGTACATAATAATTTGTTAGTATAATTAACTATTTGTGTACGAAAATTTCAAATGTTAGTCAATATTTATTAACAACTTGTATATATTGTAAAATTGGACAAATAACTAAATACAATCTAATTTAATATACTTGATTCTCATTATAATTAATTGCTCTAGTTTATTCAAAACCTAGTAGGAATCAAAAATTTTTAATTTTTGTTTATATTTAACATGTATTTATTATTTACTATTTACGATATTTTACTATTGTTTACTAACGATCATTTTGTAAAATATTTACTACTACTATAATTAGGTAGGTGTTAATAAAATATAAACTAAAACTATTATTATTAATTATGTGTAAGACTATAATTGTTTATACATAAAATTCATCGAGCATTCATTACTATAATTGTTATTTTAGAAACATGTAATAAAAATAATTTAAATAATTTAATATGTGTTGATATGTGATATCCGATTATATCTTAATAGTTGAAAATATTAATGTGATACAGCTATATTGTCTGAACTAGAGAGTTTAACTGAATTATCTAAAATGTATGTTTTCTTCGAGTGTTCGTCTTTTATAGTTTGTGATAATTAATGTGATCAATGATTTAAACTCTTAAGTTCTCACAAATAAAACCAGTTAGGTTTTGTTCATCAATGTTCATCTACAATTATTCAATGTAGTAAGTTAAGAATGGTTCATTTAGAGATTGTTACCTAAGAGAACCTCTATTGGTCTTGTTGAAGTTAAATCAAAATGCCCTAGTTTGTATACCACTCATTTGAAAATCATGCTGAAATAATATGTTAACATACCTAACTCTCGGGGGAACAATTATTGAACCAAACAGTATCATACAGTTTAATCCTGATTAAATACATAATTGCAATATATAGATAATATCCACTTAACTAATCTTTAGAACTATGCAATAAGTAATTTAAGTACAGTTTTCTATATTTGTATAAACCTATTCAAACTCTGTCCTGAGTAAATTAGGTCATCAATTAAGCCTGAAACAGGTTTTCTTAAGTTTTTTCACTTGAAATGAAGCAGTTTTCAATCTTAGGGAGAAAGCTGTAGCCATATTATGCGATATGTCTTTAAGTAAATATATATATATATTATTTAACAAGTATATTAATTATAGTAATAAATATGCATAATTATTACTAAAAAATATAAATATTTTTTATCTGATTATAGCTTCATATACATGACAATTATTATTTTTATTATATAATTACAAAAGATTGTAAATACCTTTTTTTATCTTTGTTGATTTGAAACAAAACTGTGATTTTAGTTGTATTTATATTTACTATTATTGTTTTATAAAATTGAGTTAAATTAGAATAACTATGGCTGGGATTTTAATGCCCTAAAAAGTCTCAAAAAATCAAAGCTGGAAAAGTTAGTCATTCTTTTCAACTAGTTTTAATAGAACTAAGTTAAAACATAAGTTAGTTTCCAAAATATTTTAAATTTCTAACTTAGTTATTTTGGTGAAGATAAGAAGTGATAACTTAAGTTAGAGTAGAAGTTAAAAGTTAATTTTTATATTTTAAAATATAAATTTAAAACCCGTTTGTTCAAAATATGTTAAGTATTACATAAATGAATTACTCGGTGTCTCGGTATCTATTTTTTTTTGTAGCTTAAATTATTGGTGATTTAACTCATAATATGATCAAATATCTCAACTTTTAGGTAAGTATTTACCTACTAATACTAATAACCCCTATAACTTGGAAAAAATTGGAATATCAGTCATTTGAAAACTGAATGTATAGGTAGGTAACAAAATAAAGAACATACAAACAGTATGATACTGGATTCGTATAATGGTTATACGTAATGTATATCTATTGGCCATTATAATAATAGTAACTTATTAATAACTAGTAAATGGTTAATAACAAATGATATGATAAGAAAAATGTTTTTTTATCATAAAATGTAAAATCAGTATTCGTTTTTAATAAATTATGATCATGGCTATAATAGATAACCTGCCTACTAGTAGGTAGTCGGCATTCAGCAGCTTTGGGGGACATTTGAATTTTTAGAATGAAAAAAAAGCTACAAAAATAACTATACTTACATATTTTTATTTTTTAACGATATAGATTAGACTATTTTACACATTCGATTCATGTTAGTTAATTTAAATTAAAACTAATTTACCAACCAGTTATAACTATAGTTACACTTGTGGCCAGCTTTGAAATTTATCTAAAACTTCTCTAAAACTAAAAAATTGTAGTATAAAAATTTAAAATAAAATCGTGTACGAAAATATATATTACATTATTACAAGTGCACTTTTGTTTTTTAAGTAAGTATTAGTAGTATTATCATAAATATAAAAAAAAGTAATCCAAATACCTAAATCTTATATCGACTTGTTTTGCCGTAAACGTAACTTAGACTTTTTGCCTAGAGTTCGATATTTTATCTGTTATTCGACAATATAGTACAAATAACGAAAACCTACTTCTTAATCTGTTACATTTATATAAAAAATATTCCCGGTGTGTATGAATCTTAAAGTAAAATTTCAAATTCATATTTTGTTCCCAAAAACTCAAAAAATACTCCAAGACTCAAACAATATATTTCTTCTCTAAATATCTTATTCTCATTCAAAATTACACATGACTAATTTGTGACAATACGAGAGTTTGTATTGCATTTGAAGGTTAAGTTTAGTAATCTTTGTAAAACAATGCAAATTGAATCAAAAAGAAACCTTTGGTAAATAAATATCAAGTTGTCTGATATAGTAGGTACCTACATCAGACAAATTAATAATTATTTTAAACTATAAATACAAAATTCAATCACTATGAGTTTTAATACGAGCGAAAAAAAATTACTATTGCGAATCAGTATATTATGTATATAGGCTCTACTGCGCGGTATACAACAGTGGCATTCATACAGCAAGGGGAGATGTAGGACGTAAGAAGTAGGTGTAGCAATACCCCCTCCCCTTGACTGTGTTTACTTATCATAGATATACAAATACAATACAAATTGTTTTTTTTCAATATACATAATATTATGTAGGTACCATGATTATTTTGAATAACTGTTCAAAATAACCCGATGACAGATCACAGATTGTTACTTAACAATTTTACTTGTTTAATAAATCCCCGCGAACTTTATGGAACAATGTTTAAAGATCTTCTAAAAACTTATTTTTCAGTTCTTGAAGTAGTTGAAATTAGTGCAACGGGAGAATTCACAATATGACATCATTAAGTAAAGAATACAATGGAAGCTGAAAATAATTGCAATGAAGATATATCCCCAACTATTTACAGTCTATAACATATTGGCTACCTACTTTACTAGTCACAAATTTTCCCAGTGCAAGGTCCTTTTCAACTCTCTGACGTTTGAAGACATATGTATTTACTTACCACGACTGGTGAAAAACCGTCTAAATGGTCATGGGCAGTTATTAATCCATCTTGAAATACCTATTGGTTTCCATTGAAGATGTAATTCTTGAATTAAATGTTCATATTATGAAATTTATTTTATTTTTTCAATTAAAGCTGTTATTTTTCAGAAGTCAATTGTTGGAAATTCCTTACTACGCTCCTAATATACAGTACCACCAGTGGTCTCGCCTATTCCTATTCTATTTACTTTTCATCAAATTTAAATACCATTATATAAAATAACTCAGTGTAATGTATTTTAATATATTAATTGTAAATTGCTAAAAAAAATAAATAAAACAATAATACAAAGTATTAATTTTTCTTCATTATCAGATTCTAGGTGGACTAAGAAATGTATTATTGGTTTTACAATGAGTATAAAGTAATGTGTTTTTATCTGACGTCATGTTTTGAGCAGAATAAATTTGTTTCAATCTTCTAAACTGTTGGTGGTTTCCGAAAGAAATAATAATCATTTATTTATTCAAAATGTACATTTCAAGAATATTTTTCATCATCAATCCATCAATGTTGTATTTAGCAATATGTCATACAGCAACTTTAAAAATATTATCTTTCAATAAGCAGATTGCAAATGATTAGGAAATAGGAATGATGCATGCTTGGCTTTTATAAAAAATAGACAGCTATAAGATATATGTTGGTAGTTGTAACTAGTTGACTCGTTAAACTCGACTAAATTGAAAAATTATTCACCTGTACTTACCGATGCAGATGGATTAGAACGATCCGTGAATAAATTGAAAACAGCTGTTGTGATCTCACTGTGATGTGATATCCTAAAAAAATATTTAAAATGATGCAAGTTAAAAATTTAATTCGTTCAAATTTGACACGAAGAATAGGAGGAGAAAAAAACAAAATGATAATTATTAAATAAACGTTTTTAGGACAGTCAACATTTTATGTAATTTGAGAGTGTACTACTGTGTTATATGCAGAGCTTCAGTGTGATAAGTACTTTGAAAACTTGTTAAATTGACTATAACTAAAAATTCTTAACTTTGTTAAAAGAAACTCGGCTAACGATAGTTAATCTACGGATCAAAAGTGGCAGAAAATGTAGGAAGGTAGGAACGTGAAATTTATATTGAAAATGTTGATGAATCGTTACAATGAGTCAATGAATAATGTATATATTTTCAACCATATAAGTATACCGAAGACGTATGTCTGGATACGAAGGATCCACCAACTATGAAGTCTTTAAATGAGCTCATTTATGAATAATAATGATCTCGTAACTATTTTTTTTCATATGTAAATTTTGCTATTTTATAAATACATACATACCCCCTAATAGAATGCATTCATTATTATTAGTTATAAGAGTGCATTATATGATTTACTGTTTTCTCGATTGAGATATACCATCTGGCCTTCTCCTGAAACTAATTATCGGTAGGTACCTATCGGCACATTGAGCATCGCCAACATAAAAACATCAACTTTCACTTATTGACTCATTCACGGTAGTACGCAAAGCATAATATATTCGTGCATTGA